ACTTCGTCCACCAGGGAACATGCCTTCTCAGTGGCTTTATGTAGCTGCCTCAGTACATTCCACATCCTTGCTCATTAGAGTCCCCGTGTTATCCTTTCATCAACCCGACTGCCATCTCTTGGAGACGACCAGACACCCTTCTGTCCTCAAAAGCCCAAACTCCCTGCTGCCTCTGTCGCTGTCTGCGTGCACTCTCTAGGAGTCTTACACGGAGTCCCCGTCTATCCCGTGATGCCCTTTTCTCCAAAAGGAACTCTCAGCTCCTTTCTGGTCCACTATAAGTGGCTAATGCCACACACACCTGACAGGCACCAGACCTCCCATCAGGGGCCCTTCTTAATTCTTCAGGCTGTTTTCTAGCCACTCAAGCCCCCTCTCTGCAAGTTTATCATCCTTAATGCCCATGTTTCCAATTTCACACAGGAATTCTGCCTAACACACAATTAAAGTTTGCTGATACAATGGTTACGCGGAGAATCTGAAAACCAACCCTGCTGTAGGAGGATCAGGGCTTGAAGGATTTATGAGCACCAAATATGCAGAATAGGTTGCTTTAAGGCATCTCATATTTTATTCAATGATTGTGCGGTATATCTGTGATAGGATGATAACCCTTGTCCAAGTCCTACTCTCAAGATGCGAGTATTTAGGAGCCACTACAGGTCATGAAACCAAATAATAATAATAATAATAATAATAATCTACACTAATAAAAGAGAAACATGCAAATTGGCATCATTCCACTACACCCACCAGCCAATCAGGATGAATACACAAATTAACCCAACAAAGATGGCGGTTAATTTGCATACACAGGTGCGGAGGAAAGACTGAAGACTGAAGAGGCTTGGCTTCTCTGCTGCGGCTGGACCAAAGGCCTGGGCCCTGGGTGCCGGAGGAAAACTGGTGCCGGCAGCCAGGGGAAGGAAGGCCTATTGCATGAATCTTTGTGCAACGGGCTTCTAGTAATAATAATAATAATAATAAGCAAGTAGAGACAAAATACTAGTACAGTGGCTTTCAATATATGTGCCACCAATAGCAGGCCCAAAACTTTTTAGCGACTTAGTTCGTTGGTAGAGTATAGCTGCAGCTCTTTATCCTCATTTAGGTTTTCTAGAGAAAACCAGTTTGAATTTCAGCTACTCAAATTCAGGCAATTCTGAGCTGCCCTGCTGCAAAGTGCCAGAAGGAAGAACAACCCTTGCCAGCTCCCTTCCTCCCTGCCAGGGCTCATGGAGATCCGCATTCCTCAGTGACTGCAAAGGAATCTCTTTCAAATAACTGAATACATTTCATCAGGAGAGGGGATTTACATTTTAAATGACGTTTTTAAAGAAATTTCCACTAATTACCACAGTCCACTTTTGTGTTTGTTCCCAATTACTATTCTCAGCATGGCCTACTTACTTACCATAATTTCTAAGTAAGTACTTCTATATACATAGGATTTTGTTTTTGGTTAAGGCAATTGAATATAAATGCCAGGAACACATTCAGTGGGGTGGGGGTGTGGGAGGGGGATAGTTTCTGTTAAGCCTATCAAAAGTGGTCAGCTGCCCTGTTTTGGATTATTTTCTGCCCTACAGGCTTAGATAAGTAGACAGAGCAGGAGAACTAGATGTATTATTTCTATTATTTCCTCATGTGAGTTTTTTCTTTTTTCTTTCTAGCCATAACAAAGTTCCAAAGGCAACTCTTTTTAAAGGAATCATAAAAGCTCTACTCTGATCTTCTGCATAAAAATTATTCTTCACATCAGGATTTGGGGATAACATTCAAATGAGTCAGCTACATACGATGCAAGGCATTACAGCACCGTGGAGAACATGTCCTTCTGTAGGTTCAAGCCAATCTAGAAAGTGGCTGTCTAGAAAAAAGTAGCTGGTTATCTGTCCTCAGTCCTGCAGCCCAGGGCTGACCAAGGATCTTCCTTTCCTGTGGGTAATGTTTTTCATTTCTCAGTTCGCTTTCCTCTTCATCCCATTATTTCAGGACATTATCTTCAAAAATGCCCCTCCTTTAGCGCAGCCTTCCTGTAACTGACACCCTGCACCTCAGTGGGATTTTTGTCTTGGGTGGACACCGGTGATTTGTTCTCTCCCAGGTCCAGTTACATCGCTGGGGAACTTCAACTCTTGTTCATTTTTATGTGAACTCTAAGTACTGCCCCGAGAAGACACCTCTCGTTCCTATTTTCTATTTCTGAGTAACAGAAACACACAATAGCAACAGTGCCTTGCGACTTTCTGCTTCGCTGTAGCCCAGGCTCAGAATGCCACCTATAAGAACCTGTTTGTCACTTCCCTCTCTTTTCTGTCTAGTTAGGATTAAGCCTTTTCCTGTATCTCCACCCACCAGCCACCTCCTCTCTTCGTGGGTGTCTGAAAGTCCTTTCCTGGCTTGATTATTAGCTTTTGGCCCAAATTAGAGTTGAAAGAACCACCAATGTAAACGGCGTGCACCTGGATTCCGGATTCTGTTTTTCAGGAATCTTGATTTTACCTTCTTTCTAAAAATCGGAGTCTGCATCAGTCCTTCCTGGGTTCACTCATCTTTGCATGAGGTTTTCAGGTACTGACAATTCCTTGCCACGTGTGAACTCTGTTACCTGCTTTCTTCCATGTACATGTGCTGGGCATCCCCGCTGTGCCAGAGGTCCTGTCAGCAGGGGCCAACGTTCCAGCACAGGACAACTTGAGGGAGTGGGCAGCAGGGCTAACACATTTACAGACTAAGTAGGTGCTGTTTGGTCTGGTCAAATAATTGAATCAATACTACCTCCCCTTAGGAAATGGTCTTTAGGCCACTTCACAACGGACATTCCCTTTCACTTAGACCACATTCCACTTGCTAAGACCATTATCCTTCCCCTCCGGACCTTCTCAGGATCTGGACTTGCACAGAGAATTCTCCAACCAGAAAAAGCCCACCTAGAGTCCTTTAAAAACCTGATTCCCCCTCTTTGGGTGCTGGCACCATTAGGTATCCAGATTACCTAATCTATCCTGTATAATAAAAGGCTAATATGCTAACAACTGAACCGGTTGCTATCATGTGCGCAGAACATGGCAGCCATTGGCCACAGCGGGATGGTAGAGCAGATGAGTGGGGGCGCCAGACCAAGGCGGGGCGCCCGTTGCTGTCATCAAGGCGAGCCTCTGGTGATTACTGAAAATTCTTTGCTCCTGCACACCGCGGTCCTGCCTGGCGCTCGCACCTGCTGCTGGCGCCTGTCATGCTTGCACCCGCAAGCTGGCACCAGAGCTGCCACTTGCACCCACTGCTGGTGCTCAACGCCAGTCCCGATCGCTTGGTGCTGTCAGCGGGTGCAAGCGGTGGCTACCGGCTCCGATTGCTCCACAGGGCTTCTCCACCTCCCCCTGCTCCTGAGGGGTGATCAGGGCAGCAGCTGCCACTCACACCCGCTGGCACCAGCCCCGCTCGCACCTGCAGCTGGCGCCAGAGCCGCCACTCACACCTGCTGCAGGTGCCGGGCTCTGGTCCCATTAGCGTGTGGGAGCAGCGGCAGCAGGAGCAGGGCTGCTGGCAGACAGAGGACCGGGGGTCACGGCAGGAGCTGGGCAGGGGCACAAAGGATGGGCCGAGATCCGCCTCTGTGCCCACTGCAGCCTCACAGCCCACAGTTCCTTTCAAGGTGCACAAATTCGTGCACTGGGCCCCTAGTCTATAATAATAAAAGCATAACATGCTAATTAGACAGG